TATATATATATATAATGAAATTTCTTCTACTGGCAATGACACTCATCTTATCAATTTATTAGCTGGTTCCTTCCCTAGAACTAGAGACAGAGACAAGACAAAATTGGGTCGCTCTCTAACTATCTGATACTCTGTATTTTGACATTTTTTTGTTTTTTTTTTAGGTCTCTCATGTATTTTTTTGTATTTTTTTTATTTGAAACCATTTGATGTGGTGGTTATCGTGTGAGCAGGGTGCCATGTTTGGGTCCTCTCACACAATCTATCTGTATTCTATTTTCTATTTAATATATTAGCCTTTGGGCTTTCTAAAAAAATATATATATTTATATATTATGAAATTTCTTCAAACCACTATGAAAAGTGATATTTGACAACGACAACCATCGCACCTGATCTTGCTTTTTTTTTTTTTGCTAAACATTAGGTAAGTTTTGTTTTTTTATACTTTAAGGGAATGCAATGGGCCGCTTATCCGCTTATCTTTGTGCTAAGCGTGCCCGTAGTGATTCTTTTGTTTTTGATGCATTTAGATGATGATAGGGAGTTGTTTGCCATACTAGTAAATGATAGGTCTCTTTTTTGGACGTTATAGATGCATATATGCATAGTTTTTGTACTTTTTGATATAGTAATGCAAATGTACATTTTCAACAAATACTCATAAAATTGTATCAAATGACGAGAATTCCCTTCCTCTGAAAAGTCGCTACCTCTAAGTGCAAAGTTACTTAGATTTTGATTTAAGAGACATTTAGAGTGCTCTCAACAAGTAGAACCTTTTTGCGCGCGCGCGTGGAGTTTTGCACTGTTTTTTGGGAAATGTAGCATTCTTTGGATAATATACTATATAAAGCTACATTTGGTGGCGTGTGGAACGATTAACACTTTCATTTCTTGGTCTCAAAACTACTTGCCGTGGCAAATTCAGGAGGACGCCTCCCTAATGAAGAGAATTCTTCAAGCTGGAAGCAGGTGGAGGGCCCTGATTAATTAAAAAGTGTAAAAGTAAATAATGTAAAACTTGATTGATGAAATGCTCTGTAATATCACATACTCATTGTTTGTTTCTTGTAGTCAATTATTGGTTATGGAGTTTGAAGAAGGTAGAATAGCTTTAGTTTTATTCTGGATAACTGAGCTGGGAATATTAGAAATTGAGTTTGAGTTCCTCATCATTCTTTGATATGCAAATTTGATTAGAAGAATGGAATAAGTATAGATCTCATGTTTAAATGGAGTACAATAGATTAGAGTTCAGGCGGACGAATTTATTTGGTAGTTTGATTTTTCAATCTGCAATTTGTTAGTTGACATAAGTGGGTTTTTATTCTGATCACATTTTCTTCATCATTTATTTATTTATTTTTTTGTCGATCATTTTTTTGGAAATTCTGATTCAAGTTTGACAAACCTACACTTATTTAGGCCTTACAAATTTAAGAGAGCTACAAATGTCATCTTGCAAAGTTAGTGATGCTGGCATTTCTCATCTGAAAGGTATACGCTCGGACCGGATTGCCCATCTGAGTATGCTTCATTGCTTTTATTTACTTGTTATTTTCTTTGTTTAGTAGCACATTGTTTAAGCTTGGTTTCTTTTTTTGTCCATCTATTTACAAATTATATTACAATACAGGTTTAAAGAAACTTGTTCACTTGAACTTGGAGGGTTGTCCAGTGACTGGTGCTTCCCTTGAGTTTATTTCAGGTCCATACCATAACCCAACCCCACCTCTACTGCAAATCTGCTATTGCATAGCTGTATGAGTGCCTACACTTCAAAATTTTATTGCTGTTCTCGATTGGGTTTGAATTTCTTGCGTGATGCTGTAATTCTTTGCTTCTGAACATCATGACTTCTAGATGATTTGAAATCAAAGCTACCTTGCTCACTTCTTCAAAAATGTTGAGCTCTATCACATGGTTCTTATTTTTAATATTTGCCATATATCTACATTTTGTTTGTCCTTTTTCTTCTATGTGCTTGATGTTGCTTATGATTGTTTTACTAAAAAATCAAATTAATCGAAATCAGTTAGATATGGAAGAAGACAAATAATTGCCAATTTCGAGTCTTAAGCTTGTTGTTGTGATGCTTGCATGAGGTCGCCTCATCTTGCTCACTCATGGGAAGCCCTGGATTTCACCTTGGTCACTTCTCAAGTTTGTTTTTTCCATGCATGTGCGACTGCCATGATTCTGCTTTTCTTGCTTGTTGGATGCACCCATTGATTGAATGCTTCACACTTTTTGGACACTTGTTGGATCTATCACACAAGCTCACCGTCTACATGTGCTAGTGTTGCCTTGTCACCACCTTTTTGCACGATTGCCACATTAGCCATGAAGCCTAATGCTAGACTTGCTTCACTCGTGGCCGTTCAAACTTGTGCAATTAGGTTATGATGTATTTTTTTTTGTACGTGAGGCGAAGTGTAAGCCATAACATTAAATGTGGCAAAATGAGAAGTGTTACAATGATATGAAATATGAAATTTGGAGTGCCATACAAACATTTTAACTTCAACTCATGATCGGTAGGTGATATACAAACATCAAAATGAGATAATATATCAAACAAAAACATAACAAGTTAAAATAAGTTTCACATAATAATTATATTGCTCCCAAATGAATGTTAACAAATAATCTTAGCCACTATGATTAACATTCATGAATTCAAAATTTTTTGGCACTCATCGTTTAGCAGGTTTTCATTAGAATTATCGTCATAATAAATTGATTTTTTTTTCGGTTCACCCTTTTGTGCAGCTTGGGCCAATATTTATCCTACATTTCTAGTCTTGTTTGATCTTAATTCATGGTTTTAAAAATTGGGCCAGATAGTTCGATTTGATCGGTTCAACTGCGAACTAAGCATTTAGCCGGTTTGGTTCAAGCTCAAAACCATTTCTACATAGAACCAGGATTGAACCGATCAGAGCCAATTACCGGTCAGTTCAAATATTGTCCAATTTTAACATTTTGATTTTTATCAGATGGTTGTAAGTAAAATATTTAAATTAATAATAGAAAAAATATTATGCCTTAAATTTTTTTATTTAGAATATCATCCAAAATATTAAAAAAATTTGCTTCAATTAAAATATTATTTGTTGAAGTGATAAAAATTATATCAATACATCAATACTCTATTATTTAAGTTATTTTTAAATAATTTAAATATTTATTATATCATCCGGTTAAACCTCATGTTCGGGTTTAAACCGGTTAAACCATTGAACTTTGAACTTTACTTTCTTCAGGTTGATGTTCGGTCTGATTTTCACAACCTTATTTTAACAATTTTTTCTCTTTTCTAATCAATAACAACCTGCAAGAAAAATAGATAAATTTTGCTACAATGACTATATCATTAGTTCCATGTAAAATATTGAGTACTTCCAATTTTGAATTTCACATTATATTTTATTCTCAAGTCATTTATATATCCTATGGTACTTTCATGAGTCCTCATTATATCCATCCATTTTAGAAAGCCATTGCTGACATCGCTTTCGATCGAGGTGCAGTTTTCCCCTCTTTAGTAGCCTAGGATCTAGCCGTAGGACCTTTCTGTCGACTACTCCTAGAAAACTAGTGAAAAAGCCATCATCGTTAGCAATTTTGAACTTTTCTTCGCTCGACTTGTTTTCTTCGCTCGACTTGACGTTCCATATAGTAGTTTTGATCGCTATTGCTTAGCAGGTAAGACTTTCTGAAGGAACTCAGGAAGTATTCCTATAGGACTGTCGGCTTTAGGATTGACTGTACTCGTTGATTTGGCTTCGCCGCGCTCTTCGCCGTCATGTTTAATCGAATTCGAGCCGAGTTTTTGACGTGATTTGGGTCGCGACGCGTTTTCGTCCCAATCGTCGATGATGTCATCTAAACGACTCTGGATGACGAAATAGACTGCGCCGATGCGTCCGGAACATCAATTTTGCCTAGAGGGGACATTCGTTTCATTGCGACGACACGTCTTGAGGAAAATACATATTTAAGTGCTAATTATAATAATAGATATTACTTTATTATTATTATAATTATAATTAATAACTTATGTAAAAAAAATCCTTAACCTAGTTTATTTCCCCTCCCGTTTCTTCCTCTCGCGTTTGTGGACCTCTGCCCTAACTGCGGTTCGCTCGGTTTCACCTGGCCCACTCCTTTGTGCCGTTGGAGTTTCGTCCCCGAGCTCATTCCTCTCGCACGCGAGACATCCTCGCAGGCGACCCATCCCCTTATCATTGCTGAGGATCCTATCCTTTGCGAGGATCGTATCCTCTGCTCTCAACCCTCCTTGCCGCAAAGTGTGCCCTCTGCGAGGATCGTATCCTCTGCGCTCGATCCTTCTGCCGTATCTTCTTAATCATTATTCTCCTTCTCTGATATATATTAGAGCTTGATTTTGTAGCCCTGGGGTTATGCCGAAAAATCTCTGAGGGAGGAAACTCTGTCATTTTCTACTCACTTCTTTAATTTTCTGGTGCTTGAATTGGTTTCCTCTTGCTGTTAGAGGAGTTGAAGTTGGGGAGTGTCTTTAAAAGTGCCTTCAAAGTTCCTGTGTTACTTTCTTTTGCTTCAATGAGGTATCTTTTCCCCTTTTGTGCTTTGCGCTTTTTTCGGTTTTGCCCTGCCGAGCCCCTGTTAGCTCGGTGCGATGGGTGATACAACATGCTGACTTAGTTGACACTTATATTTTTGAATACATGATACTCAAGCATCTAGGAGTAGAAATGCAAGCATACTTTAAGGGCTAGATTTGATTACCTGTTTAGAAGGATAGAAGTATAGCATGTTATCGATTTTTCTCTTTTCCCTACTTGCTTAAAATGGTAAAACTATGACATATTTCTATTACTGTGAATGAGAAGGTTGAAACGTGGCTTTGAGATGATGTTAGCTCCTTTTTTCTCTTTTTGTTCAAAAGCAAGTTGGAATAATTGAAAATGTAGCTTTGAGCTGATGCTGGCTCCTCTTGCAAGCATGTTGGGATATGCATTATGAGGCTTTTCATCTATTCTTATTTAGCATGAGATATTGGAGAGTTTATTTGGCCTTTCATGCATGTTTGGGGGCCCGACTTTGGTTTCTTATGGCTCTTCCTTGCTTGAAATACATGTTATGGGAGGATTTATTTAATTCGATAAGTCTTGTAACTTGTTTTGGTGGTTGGGTTTAGCACCTCACGAGGCATCACTTTGTTTAAACTTCTATTTGAAGTTGTTTCATGCTTGGAATATTTAAGTTGGGGGCCTAAATATACTCTCTATATTGTTGCTCTTGTTTAAGACATGTAGGCTCTATCTTGATGTTTCAAAAGGCATGTGAACTACTCTTTTGTTCTAAATGGGTCGGTTTCACCTTGAAGTAGCTGTTTAATTTCTGTTAAAGCTTGAGTTTCTATCGATGCTTGGGCCCTGTTTTAGCCTTGAGTGGCTCGGTTTCTGGCCCCCATTGGGGGCCTGCTCTAGCCCTTGACTCTTGCCTGATTATGAGGCTTATTTTTGTTTGATTTGGGGTGTGGCTTTATTCTTTTTGCCCCTTCTGGTTTTCGGTTTGCCTAAAAATGCGTGGGTTTGGATTTGCTATCATATACTGCATTTGATTAGCCTTTAAAGCTTTGATTTGATCTCTTTAGGAGCTCGGTTTTTATCTTGGAAGGGTTGGAGGCTGTGTTCTGGATTGAGATCTTGTCTTGGGTATGTGAGCTTTACTTGTTAACCTCTAGGGATTTATTTTGGCTTTATTTGGGAGCTCGGTTTGCTTGTTTTAGCTCCTACCCGAGAGCCTGTTGTGGTGTTTATTCCTTTCCTTGTTCCATAACTGTGGGAAGGTTCAGTTTTATTTGCTTTAACCTCTATTTGGGAGCTTGGTGTTGTCTTGTCCTGTCCCTACCCGAGGAGTGGTTTGGGTTTGATTTTTGTTTGCCTTAGTCCCTACCCGAGAGCCCATGATTGATGCCTTATACTTGTCCCTACTCGAGAGTTTTGTTGGCTGCCCTTTGCTTACTTCTGTCCCTTACCCGAGAGCTCGTTGAGAGCCAGTCTTGTGCCCTTTTTCTGCTCTTACCCGAGAGCTTGTTGGGGGCCTGTCTTGTGCCTTTTTCTGCTCTTTCCCGAAGGCTTGTAGTGGAGTTGGTCCATGCTTGTTCTTAGCTCCACCCATGAGCTTGTTGGTAACTTGTTGGTAGGTGAACTTGTTGGTAGGCTATCCGGGGTTGTTTGACTCTTTCTGCCGAACTTAGTGTGACTTGAATGTTATTGATGAATCAAGTTTGTCATCCAAAAACATATGCATTTGCCCTATCTATAGAGTGAGGTGATCAAAAATAAATTGAGCATATTTCTTATGTCTTACTTGGGGGAAATTGGAGCCGGTTTGAATGATTTATACAAGCTTGTCCATTCACTCTCTTACGTATCAAAGGCAATACTTTGGGTAGTTTTCTTGTTGCTACTGTGGCCGTGGGCTCCTTTTGTGCCTTGGGTTGCCTTGGCCGTGAGCCTCCGCTCCTTTTGTGCCCTGAGTTGCCTTAGCCGTGAGTCTCTTTGGCTCTATTTTGCCTTGACCAAAAGCCTTGGTGGCTATACCCTCGTCCATTGACCCCGACCGTGAGCATTTCTTTGGTTTTATGGGAAGATTTTATGCTTATTTGATATATGAGACTTGATTAATTTAGAAGTTGAAAGATTCTGATTTTTG